CAAGGAACTCCCCTGGGATGTCTCAATCAGACCTTAACCCTTTGAGAGGAGAAAGAGAGGGAAGTCCAAGAAATTATCTAGCAACAGCTCCCCCCGGCTTATAGGTCAGAAGAGAATAACGGGCCCCAGGATCCGAACCCGGATCGCGACCCAGATTTTCCTTGGCCATCGGGTGACTGGCCCCCGGGTTGGTGTCCTGAATACGGAGAGGGATAGACACTGGCACCACCACCTCCACCACCACTACCACCACCTCCACCGCCATGCCAACCCATTCGTAGCTCCTGCAATGCCAATCCCCAATATAACTGCCCGATGAGACAAGTGGCAATTCAAGGAGACAAGCCCACTTTTGTCTATGTGCCTTTCCACACATCGGACTTATTTACTTGGAAGAACCAGACTCCTTCTTTCAGGGAGGACCCCAAGAAAATGCAGAACTTCTTCCGGTCAATAGGACAGACTCATCGCCCCACCTGGGCTGATGTTCAGATGATGTTACATACCCTTCTGACCTCCGAAGAGAGGCGATTGGTACTGGGAGCAGCAGATCAGATAGCTCAGGGACAAATAAGGGTTGGAGAGAATATGTGAGATATCTGTCCTATTGAGAGTCCCAATTGGGACACCAATTTGCCAGAGGGAAGACGACAAAGCAGCAGGTATTTAGGAATTATAGTGGAAGCTTTAGGCAAAGCAGTACCCAGAGTAACAAACGTCTCTAAATTATATGAGGTCCGTCAAGGGAAGGATGAATCTCCCTAGAGTTTTCTGGAACGGTTGTATGATGCCTTTAAGAAATTCAGCAGTTTGGACCCTGAGGCCCAAGAGAATCAGCACATGGTAAACATGCTGTTTATTGGGCAAGCAGCCCCAGACATAAGGAAAAAGCTGCAAAAGGCTGAAGGAGGATCAGGGAAACCTCTTTCGGAACTTGTATAAATTGCGTACAAGGTTTATGGAAATCGGGATCAGGTAGTGGAGAGGAAGGAGGAAAAACACGGGCAGAAGCAGATGGCAATGCTAGCAGCCGCCTTGAGTAAGAACCCAAGTTCAGGCGGGGGACGGAAGGAGGCTTCTGAGGGGGGACAAAAGAGAGGAAGAGGTCAACTCCAGCCTGATGAATGTGCATATTGTCGAGAGAAGGGACATTGGAGAAAAGATTGTCCTAAGAAAAAAGAAAAAAAGGAAACCCAATCGGGATTTCACCAGATGCGGGCGGAATCCTCAGGGGAAGACTCTAGCTGAAGGGAACTGGGGTCCAAGACCACCACCCTGCGGGCAAATGCCCGAAAGGATCCCATGGTAGAAATAAGGGTTGGTGGCAGAAAATACCAGGCTCTAGTGGATACCGGAGCAACCTATTCCATGATCCCCGTGAAACCCCCTCTAGCTGAAGAAAGCGGAAAGCAGGTGACTGTAGAAGGAATAGAGGGAAGACAAACTAGATTGCCAGTATGTAAGCCCCTCCTCACAAAGATTGGGAATAAT